TTACTGTATATGCTTATGCTCTAGTGAAAACCAGCCTGTATACCCAACTGCCTAATAAGATGACTGAATTATTTTTGCCCCAGGCATTTGGAATCATTTCTACCGTCTTGTTCACTATGGATACAGTCTTGTACTGCATCAAGAACAGGAACACAGGGTCAGCACAGCCTCCAACATCATCATTTGAAGGAGGCAATACTGAAGACACTCACGAACCTATTGAGTAACCTGAAGCAAATTACAGACACAAAACAAATTGAGGTGATTGAACAAGTCAACAGTTCTTGGTTCAATCTATAGGTTCAATCAACATAGTGTGTTTATTTGACTACAGTGCTTATTTTCTTGAACCCATTAATTATTATTTTAGGGCCATAAATTTTACTGTCACACTAAGAGCTTATTATAACTTAAACAAATGCTCGAGGGTCTTAATGTACATATACAATTCTACAAATGTGTCTTGGATAACCAGTGTTTATTTAGGATGCAGCATTAAATAGATAATAATTATTATACTGTATTCCTCTTTAGTCGTAATTGTTGACATCTAGTGTGTGTTTTTAAATAACATTATTATTAAGAATGATTGCTCTTTAGAATGCAGTGACCTTATTACAGACAGTTACAACGTAATCTCCATAACCTAAATTATGAAGAAAATTTCACCGTCCGCAATGATGGTAATTTACAGTGACTCAAAATGCTGTACCATTTGTATAATCATACTGTACATGTACAATATATATAATCAATGTGTTGCATTGTATTCCCCACATCTACTAGTTTTACATGTAGCTCAGATACCTTTATCATTTTGTAGAAATCTTGTTTCCATAAAGAATTAGAAAATAGCCCAAAGAAAATATGCATACTGATTGGTTTAAAATCATGTTTCTATAATTCGAATTGATAGAAACACAACACTGGCACGAGCTGTCGATGTAATGATGGCACGAGCAAAGAGAATTTACATTTTGATAATCAAAATAAACAAGGTTTTTTCTTTTTTTTTTCGTTGCGGTATTTTCTAAAAGAAATAGAAGACATGCTCTCCTTAGTTATAGAAACACTCGTGAAGGTTTGGAAGCACTTAAAACTCGCCCAACGGCTGGTGTTCCCACAGCATTTCTCAATCTCCAAAACTTTCACTCGTGTTTCTATTAAACAATTAGATTATGAGCTCGAGATTTCTATCGGATGATAGTTGACGAGGGTATATGTATATGTAGGTTTTGTTGTTTCACGTTTTAGGTGTACTCCTGTAAACGGTCTAAACAATGGTTATCAACAAATCATTTAATATTCTAATATTCCCAACTTGATTCTTTAGTAAAAGACAAGTTCATAAGCCGCTTTATCTACTATGATATGTTCTTTCAAGTTTGTCTGTAATTAAATTTTAAGCAAGAAATAATTTCCACATACATGTACTGTGTAAATTTGCTACATGTGTAAATTGAGATTGAACTGAAACTTTCACTCTGCCTGTCTTCCTGAGAAGTGAATTGGCTATATATAAACATAATGTACAAGATCAGTTTGTTCTCTTGTAATAGGGGCAGTACTGGAGCTGTAGAATCTGCCTAGAATCTCTAGAACTTACTTGTATCTTCATGGACTACAAAGCAGTTGTATCTTTAAAATTGCGAACGTGCGTGGTCTTCGAACGAAATATCCTTGCGGTCATGGATCTTCGAGTAGTGTAAAATACATCAAATTTATCTTTACTTACATACAGGTCATTGTAAAAAGCTTGATTTGGATTCACCTTAATTGGTTAGAGGAAACATTCTGTTATGTTTGAATGCGGACGTTCCATTATTTTTTTGATTTGGTGGAGGAGGGGGGGGGGTAATTTTTGGGGGCATGAAACTTTTTTTTCACCTCTATTGCGCATGATTTTTTTGCTGGAGCTTTTTGCAAGAGCTTTTAAAAGTCAAAAACAGGACCTGGGGTGCGTTTCTCGAAGGTCCCGAGAAATTTTCGCACCCGGAAAG